ATTTGGTTTAAACTCAATAAGCTCCTTTAAAACTCTTTCAAATGTTATGATCTCATTTACACATTCGAAATAGGTGAAACTAAGTTAAATTAAATCCTCATTTTCTATCAATAAGCAACCAATTCAAACTTCATTTGGAACAATTTTTTTACTGTTTCCTAAAGCATTAAAAAGCTCAAACAAAGCGTAAGTCCATCCTTCAATTTACTCATACAAAATAAGTTATTACTTTTGTTATTGTGTTGATGATTCCATGAGATTTGCAATTATTGCTGTCAAAAACTATGTTTATAATACAACTAGACAAGTTGTAATATGGCCTTCCTTTTGTTCTTAGTATATGGATTTAATCAAAAAGAAAATGATCGAGTACTTGTATTTATATTCATATAGTGAGATTCTGGTGTCTTAATATAATTATGAAGACCTTATGGCTCCATTATGTAGTTTTCACATGTCATATGTGCCAGCTTGCTGATTACCTTATTTTCTGTTTATATCTTTGTTCTGCAAAATTGTTTTTCCTTCTAACTTTTTCTGGCTTATAATAAGAGATCCAAGCAGTTATTAAATTCATCTTTCATTAGGCTTGTTCTTGCACGTTGTTTTATTGTACATAAACGTGTTTTCTGTGCTGCTATAGGGCTATCCCATGTTTTTTTTTTAAATCTTATTTACTTCTTACTTTTATGGTAATAATCAGAAATGATATTGTAAATATTTTTGTCTGCAGGTTTGCTGCAACTGAGCTGGAAACAGACATTATTGTTAATGTGGGTGATGTGAAGTTTTACCTACACAAGGTATTGTTGTTCTTTGTTTGAAAACTTTATTCATTTGATGCTCTTTGTAGTGACTGAACTCCATTAAATAGGGGGTGTCCAACGAGTCAGGTTTGGGTCTTATTTGAAATTGACCTGATCCGAATCCAACCTGTTTAATAAATGGGTTAACAAAGTGAACACGATCCCAATAGGGCTGTAAGTGAGCCGAGCCCGCTCGAGCTTGACTTCTTTATGGGGTCACGAGCCGAGCTTATCGAGCTCACGTGTCTAGCTCGAGCTCGAACTGGAGCTCATTGAGTAAACAATCTCGAGTTCGAGCTTGTTGAGTCTCGACTCGTGAGCTCGTGAGCCGGCTCGAAAACAATATTTCGAGCTAATATTTTTTATTATTAATATTTTGATTACACTTAAAAGTAATAAATTAAGTTTTAGAACAATTAAGTTCGACAACAGTATTCTTGGCTCGAGCTAATAAATGCTAATTCAAAAAAAATTAAATTTTAGAAAAATTATGTTAAAATCTTCAACAGCAAGAAAATTCAAACAAATTCAAAAGTTTTCTCTCAAATATCAATGCTAATAAATGTTGCAACCTTCTTTTCTCCAGAAGCAGCAGCTTCTATTCTCCTCTTGTGCTAAAACCAAGTGGTAAAACTGGGCGGTAAAACAAAAATCCGGCAGGAAAACCGGATGAGAGGCTCGATAATCTCATTACATTATTGCGAGTCGAGCTTGAGCTCGACTCTAGTTCGAGCTCTAGTTCAAGGTCAATATATGACTCGATAGTCGAGCTCTAACACCCCTTGACTCGAGCTCGACTCGACTTGTTTGCACTCCTAGATCTCAACCTACTAACAATTAATCCTAACCTGCTAATCCATTTTTATCAAAAAAATTTATTACTAAAATTTTTGTACTAAAAAACTTCTTTAAAAAGCAGTAAGAAAGTCGTCCTAAATGAAGCCTATGTCATAATAGTATGATTATGGCTAAGAAAGGTAAATTTTGTCTAAATAATCTATAAGCACAACTTTTTTTGGATGGATTTGAATGTTTGGCTACAAAGAAAATAGAAACATTTAACTTTCGTAAGGCGAAATTGTAACGTTTGAGATGGATATGTTGGAAAATGTGAAAGTGTTAATATCAAAATTATTTTGTCAAAGCAAATTTAGATGGTTTGAGCATGTTGGAAAGTGTGAAAGAAGGGAAATAAAATTATTGTTGACAGGCATTTGAAAGCAAAGAGTACTAAATGAATGGATGTAGCTGAAATATGTCATGATATATTTGAATAAAACTAGAATTACCATCATTTGCTTTCCTATAGAATGAAAGGATTGATTAAGGGGTCCCTATATTACTATGATAAAGCTAATCATAATGATGTATATAGTAGCAGTCCCATTTTTTATTCTTCAGAAATTAGATGAAGTTTTATCTAAACAATTATTTACTTAGCAAATGGTAACTAATTTGCATTTTTAAAAAATTTATTGACCACCTGTATGCAGTTTCCACTGTTGTCCAAGAGCCTTAGATTGCAGAGGTTGATAGCAACTATTGATGAGGAAAGAAGCTATGAGATTGCCATTCCTGATATCCCTGGTGGCTCTGCAGCCTTTGAGGTTTGTGCCAAATTCTGCTATGGCATGATCTTCACCCTCAATGCATACAATGTGGTTTCAGCTCGCTGTGCCGCCGAGCACCTTGAAATGCTTGAAACTGTTGAGAAAGGGAACATGATTCATAAGATAGATGTCTTTCTGAATTCCAGTATTTTGCGCAGCTGGAAAGACTCCATCATAACTCTCCAAACTACAAAGATTCTACAACCTTGGACTGAAGAATTGAAAATTGTTCACTGTTGCATAGAGTCAATAGCTTCTAAGGCTTCCATTGATCCTGCAGAAGTGAAATGGTCTTATACTAATAATAGAAAGAAACTTCCATTTTCAGATGTGATGAAGAAGCAGTCTGTGCCCCAAGATTGGTGGGTTGAGGATCTCTGTGAACTTGAGATTGAATTCTACAAGCAGGTTATAATTGCGATAAAATCGAAGGGGCTAGCTTCTAGTAAAGTAGTTGGAGAATCTTTAAAGGCTTATGCTTACATAAGACTTCCTGGCTTCAGTAACAGTCATGGAGGTGATTTAACAAAGCACCAGACCTTGCTGGAAACCATTGTTTGGCTGTTTCCTCCTGATTCAGATTCAGTTTCTTGCAGTTTTCTGCTGAAATTGTTGAAAGTAGAAAGCTTTCTTGATTGTGGTGAGAATTGCAAGAAAGAACTGATTAAAAGAATAGGATACCAGTTGCAGGATGCATCAGTGGCTGATCTATTAATTCCTGCTCCAGTAGGCGAGAGCACACTATATGACATAGAGACTGTTCTTAGCAATATTGGCAGAGTTCTTGATGCGAGAGCACATTAGCTCTCAGAAGACTTCAAAAGAGCTTCAGAAAAGCACTAGTTCTGCTTCAGAGACTAGCAGATCAAAAGTAGCTGTAGCGAATTTGGTCGATGGGTACCTTGCTGAGGTCGCAAAAGATCCTAATCTACCCCTTTCAAAGTTTATCAAACTAGCTGAGATGGCATCAGGATCCTCACGGCTATCTCACAATCAACTTTATCATGCTATCGACATGTTCTTGAAGGTAAGCCTCCAACATTCTGTGATAAAACCAATCACTTGGACTTTGCAAACGATCAAGCTGAAATCTTTACATATTAAGAATTGAATCGGGCATTCAAGTCATAGTCGTTGTTGATCATGGCATGCATCTTCATTTGCATACAAATCATAAAATAAACATTGTGAAAAGTTATGATTCATTTTTGTCAGTTTTTTTTCATCTAATTGTGTCTCTCTTCTGATGAAATAGGAGCATCCAGGCCTAAAAAAATTTGAGAAGAAGAAGATTTGCAGTCTTTTGGACTGCAATAAGCTTTCTCATGATACCTGCATCCATGCAGCTCAGAATGATCACCTCCCTCTAAGAATAGTAGTGCAGATTCTATATTTCGAGCAATTGAGGCAGTTTGCCATAGGTAGCTGCGGCACTAATCTTCCATCTGGAAGGGCTCAGTCGCTGGTTCATCAGGAGAACAGATCAGTATCCTATGCAAGTTCCAGGTCTGCCGCATCCTCAAATACTGAGGATGAATTGAATGGCGTCTCAATCAAACCTGTGAAGCTTGAAGCGAGTGGAGAGAATGGCGATGACAAGAGCAGTGAAAAAGTAAAGGGAGGTCTGATGCCAAAGAGAATAATAAGCAATCTGTGGTCAGGCAAGGTGCAAGTTGGTGAGAGTAGTAGTTCCGGGACGCCGGAGAGCATTGTTTCAATGAACCCTAATGAGGCAAGGTCGACTCCATCAAGGCATTCAAGGCAATCCGTTTCATAGCAGATTTTTATGAAAAAGCTTGGGAATTTAAGGGTTCTTCCCTCATGATCTTATGCTTCATAAGGGCATCTCCAACCGAAAATGTCATTTTTCACTCCAAAATGCAGGGAAATCAAAAAATGCCGTATTTCATCTCCAATCCAACGTCATTTTGCCGCTAAAATGGTCGTTTTCGTTCGCGCCTTTCTTCCCAAGCTGTTCGGTAGAGAGAAAAAAATGCCGCAGATGAACAGTGCGACGCCAATATTGGCGTCGCACTGTTCATCCGCGATCAAATGGCGTCAAAAATGGAGATCGGTTGGAGCAAAGCAAGAACGGCAAACAAGTATTTGCCGTTCGGTTGGAGATGCCCTAAGCTCGTGAATTTTGGAGGTTTAGGACTGACAGGACTCTGTAGATAGAGTAATGGGGATCTTTTGCTGGCCATAGTGCTGATTTAGGTTTCGTTTGAGATGACTTTCTTACTGCTTTTTAAAAGTAACTTTTTAGTACAAAAATTTTAATTTTTAAACTAGAAAGCTGCTTTAAGAGTCATAAGAAAGCCATCCCAAACGAAGCCTTAGGCTTCGTTTGGAACGGGTTTCTTATTGCTTCTTAAAACAGTTTTCTAGTATACAACAACAACATCATGTCTTTAATTTTTATACTAGAAAACTATTTTAAAAAACAATAATTTGGGACTAGAAAGCTTTTTAAAACAACTTTTTAGTACAAGAAATAAAATTTTTGTACTAGAAAGCTGCTTTCAAAAACAATAAAAAAATCATCTCAAACGAAACCTTAGTAATGCTAATGGGCAAATTCAGCTTTACCATCATAGTCTAATATGATACTAATTAAAGGTTTATTATTTAAGTCACTTCACAATAACAAAGTTCACTTAACTTCATTAACATAATTAAACAAGCCATAATTGTGGTTTAGGCATGTAATTAGTCTTCTTTATCTTTGCTTAGGTTCTGAGTGATTGGAAGGTCTCCATCGTAGGAGCATCGAAGAACATCTGGAAGCTTCTTCACAACCCTTGGCCCCACCGGCACCCTCCCAGATTTTGGCCGAATATCCTGTGCAATCATTGGACAATAATACAATAAATTAATGTTTTCTAAATTATATATAACAAAAATCTATATTCTACAGAGTCAGCAGGTGAGAAGCAAAACCTTCATGCATTGAAAGTGTATATATTTGCATTTTTTTAAAATCAGAAAATAACTTTAAAAACAGTGAAAAAATTGTCCCAAATGAAACCTTAATATTCATTTTACCATTCATTAATAATCTTTCATTGTTTATGTGGTAAATAATTATTATTTTTACAAAGACAAATGGGAAATTCAAATTCGAATGGACTCGTTTGTAATGAAAAAATGATAATGATAATTATAATTCAAATAATAATTGATTCCTTGTTTAAGAAATTTAAATATTTATAATATATTTATACTTTAACTTCTGAATGTAATGTATTTTAATTATATTTTATAGTAATAATTTTTGAACGAGCTAGCTCACGAGCTAATAAGTTGAGTTAATGCTGGCTCAAGTTTGATCAGTTGGCTCGTTGAGTTCGGCACACGAGTCATTTATTGAGTTAAGTTACAGCCAGGTCATCAGTCAACTTAACTCACTTATGCCTTTGTTTACATGAAATCAAACTAAGCCCATAAGTCTTTAGGAATTCGATGCGGAATAAGAAATTTTTTTAAGAACATTATAATAATGGCTTAAAAATCTCCTAATTTGTGCTAATTGGTATCATTCAAAATATTATATAAAATATTAATTTTAATATAAATTAAAATATTTTATATCGAAATATTCATACATAAAATTTTGTGCTAAATTAATATACTATTTCATTAACAGTTATCTCTGATCAAATAGGGGTAATTTATTTTCGCAATTCCATTTGCTATTTGTTCATAAACAGCGCGTGATTGCACGCACAGAGACACAGTTAGGGGAGAGAGAGGAAGAGCAGACCTGATCGAAAATGGCGGTGGGGATAGCAATGGTGGCGACGGCATTGGGAACGTCTACGATGCTGGAGAGGCGGCCCTCACAGGGGCAGCAGGAGAGGAGGAGGTAAGCCTGCTCCTTGGAGTAGCCGAATTTGGAGAGGTAGTCAATGGCGTTCAGCACGGCGCGCTTGTAGGCCACTGTGGCGTCCATGAAATGCTGCCGCCCGCTCTCGTCCACGCTTATGCCCTCGAACACCAGCCACTCTGAGAATCGCGGCTCCACTGGCCCAATCTCGAAGATAGGGTTTACGTGCAGCTCGGTTGGCCCCATTGGGGTTAGGTATTCCTTCATCCCGCCCCTTATGATCTCGCACCTCAAAGAAAAATTTAGAAAAGTTTAGGTTTGGATATTTGATTGACAATGTATTTGCGATTGCCCTATGCAATATATACGTCATTGGTTTTTTAACATTGCTCAGTGAATTTGTTTAAATATTGTTAAAGGATATTTCTTTGCTGGATATGGGACAAAGCGTTGTTTGCAAGTGTAAAGAAATGATAATCAGGATATGGGAACTGAAAGGTTTTAGGACTCAAAAATCAGAGATGATCAAGATACTCAAGACTTGATTAATGGTTAATGGTTAAGGCCTGTCGCGACATACAGAACTCCAAATGTTTATGCCCAGCCTACATTCAACGTGGGGTTAGTCGGACCCGTTAATGTGCAATGAGGATCAGCATTTTAGTTACAAAATAGTATTTCAGAGCATGTCCTTAGGGTTCTAATTTTATTTTAGCATGCTTATTTGCCTAAGAAAGCTGTGAAGGTGAAGGAAAGTTGGTGCTTTCCTTTCCATTGATTTTTCCACTTGTTACTACAGAAAATCTTAAATTCCTGCTTCCTCCATTTCATTTTTTTCTTTACCTTTTTCATTTGACAAGTATATGCCCTTAATATATCGAAGAAGCATTTACTGTATCTAATGATCTACAGGCTTTCAAATATCTAGAGAATGTGTAAAGATGAAAAAAAAAATCAATTATAATGTGATCATCTTTTATAATATGAATACTACTGCTTTTCCTATTGTGATCTCTAAGGTGCATTCGGGCGTCTTAATGTGTATCCTAAGAGCACTAGTTGATGATACTCTTTCCTTTTTTTTAGATATCCACAGTTAGTTTTTAAGTTTAAGAAAGTGGCAATTTCGTAGAAATGGAGAAGTATGATATTCATTTTTTGGCTCTAAAGAGAGAACCTTTCATTTAATTAAGAATTATTATATGAAGACAAGCCATTTTTTGTTTTTTTTTAGTTGAAGGTCATTTTTGTTGTTTCTTGTCAAGAAACTTATAACTTTTCATCCCGAGCAAAGATCACTAAGTGTGAGAAAGCCATATTTTCTCTCTTCTCAAAGAAACCTCGAGTGAAAAAAATGGAGGCTATGGAATTCCTTCACTTTCTTTCATGGGTACAAATTATTTTCCTTGATGGTCATGGTTTTTTTCACAAAGATTTCCTACTTTTTTTTTTGGTTGGAGAAAATGATCCTACTAAAATTAGGAATACAGAATATTTACATAAGAAAATTATGGATTAAATGTAATCTAATACATATGATCCTTGAATAATATATAAAAATGAATCTACTTATTTCATTACTTGAAGGATTTTTCAAGGAAGTTGTGACTTCAACTTTATTTACAAAGAAAAGTACCATTTGATGTTTGAGGATAGGTTATAGGTGGCTAGAGGAAACGACCATGTAAAATTTACTGCCTTTCTATCACCCAATATTGCAATAATTAGAGGGTTGGGAGGTAGGGGAGGGCTACCCTGCTCTTCTTTTCACAGAGAAATACTGAAGATTTCTCAGTGCTTTCTTAGTTAGTGTACTTATGTTTGTAAAAAAGAATTTACATCTAATCCATATCATGGGTTGGGTTTAGCATTGGCTTGTCCAACCAATCCTTAAATATTATTTTAAAGGTCAAAGTCTAGAAATTGGTCTAAAAATGATGTTTTGAAAAGCATCTTGGTTTTGTAAAAAATAATAATAATAAGAATAAAGCATCTTTATTGTATAATGGTTGTCAAATGCTACAGATTTTTGGGTTTAAATGTTTAATTTGTCATGAGGAATTCATAGTATGGACTCTTCATGTTATCTATGGTGGCTTAATTTATTGTTTTTATGCCATATTTTAGGATAAATGCTAGAAAAAATGTTACCTTTAATAAATCAAGAAGTGCAATACTTACTTGAGTTCTAGGAATCCGCTCATCTCTATTGCTCCACAAAGTGAAATTTCACCATCACCTTGAGAGAAGTGCATGTCGCCTGCACTAAGGTTTGCACCTTCAACAAAAACTGGAAGATATATTTTTGATCCAGTACTTAGATTTTTTATGTCACAGTTTCCTCCATTTTCCCTTCCAGGTACTGTTCTTGCAGCCTCAGTTGCAACCTTCTCCCATTCAGACGTTCCTTCATTAATCTACAATTCAGAGGATAATGAACTTGACAATTTGATCTAATTTTGATTTTAGCATGATTCTGTTAATGCGCGTTTTTTAAAGGCAATCAAACCGTACCCAGATAATTATTCACATCATATGACAAGGCTTTGATTTTCTGTGCACTTTTAATACCTTTATACAAAGTAGAATGATAGGAAACACTTGAAGATCTCAAGTGAAACCTAACGATCTTGACGAAATTAGCAAGAATACTCAACAAGTAGATAAAAAATCAAAGACAAACAACCCACTTTATTGAGAAAAATAAACTAACTAAAGAAAAACAAACAAGATACAAGTGATACTCAATTCGAGAGGAGGATCGATCTCTCCCGATTCTCTAGATGCCGCTAGAGCCCAAAAGAAACCTAAACCTAAGAGATTTCAAATTTCAGCCAAATTCAAGATTCTCTAATCCTAGGAAAACCAATTATTTAATGCATAGTTGCTTACAATTCAAAAGGAAATCTCTAAACGGTCCCTCTGTACGAGCCTCCTGAGCTGTTGCCTCCCGTTTCTCCCTAGATGCCTCTGATCTTCCACCAACTGAGCTAGCTCTATAGCCTCTCCCAAGTTACGAGGCCTCATCACTCTAACTGCTGCCTGAATCTCTAGTTTCAGTCCCTTCATGAAGTTCCCCTCTAACATAATCTTAAAAAGTCGGTCAAATTGGCTAGCAAGATATTCGAACCTCTCTCGGTACTCTATCACAAAATTATCTTGTGTCAAAGCTAAGAACTACTCGTAAAAGTCTCATCCCTTGCCAGTTCGGAATCATTCTAATAGGCAATCCTTGAACTCCCTCCAACTCCGTATAGGTCGCCGCATGTCCTTACACTGGTACCAAGCCAAAGCCTTCCCTTCTAAACATAGTCTAGCTGCCGTCAGTCTCTCCTCCTCTGTCAACCTGTTGATAGTAAAGTACATTTCCACCCTGTAGATCAACCCATGTGCATCCTCTCCCTAAAAAATAGGCATCTATAGTTTCCTTACTCTCAGATCTCCTCCGTTAACCCTGCTTCCTTAACAATTTTCCATTCCCCAAGGGGGTGGTCCCCCCCCCCCGCAATTATGTCAATCATCCCTTCTCCGCTCGCACCCAAACCTTTCATCACAAACCCGCCTCCTCCCTTCTAATTCAGAACCCCTTCGATCATATTCAACCCCTCTCCTTTAAAATTCGGCACCTCTTCGATCATAATCAAGTCCTCACCTTTCAAATTTAGCCCCTCTCCTTTCAAATTCAACATCCCTCCATTCATGCCCAACCCTCTCATGCCTCTCCACATACCTTCTACCGGATTCCTCCTTAGGAATAGGCCCTAGGGGAGGCATTTTTTCTGTTCCCTCTAAAATCTTCCCCTCTTGCTCTTCCCTTCTTCTGATTGGCTTAGGATTTTTCCCACTTCCTTGGCTATCAACACCTTCCCTCATCTCCGATGGCTGTTGGTTTGACCCTCAAGCACTTTTTTCAACATCTCCTCCAAGATGGAAAATTTTGATTCGAACTTAATTTCGAATCGAACTTATCATGGATGGCTGAAACATCCTTTTTTAAATCTGAAACTTGAGTTTGGAGATCTGAAATTTCAAATTTTATTTGTCCAATCTCTCCCTTTCAATACTTCTACTTTTCTTCCAACCATAAGTCTTTGTACCTATGTTAGGCTTGAAAATTAAGATTTCCACAACAAAAACAGCAAAAACAGTGGTTCGAAGAAGAAAAACTGCTGCATGAATCAACCCAAACAGCCCCGAACACTGCTTAGACTCGAAAATTCGGATTTCTACCACAAAAACAGCGGTCTGATGGAGAAAAAACTGCTGCAGGAATCAGCCCAAACAGCCCCGGACACTGCTTTGATACCAATTTAATAGGAAACACTTGAATATCTCAAGAATTTCCTATCAATCTTTGGAAAACAACAAACAATTCTCCTCAAGAATCCACACAAAAACAATAAAACAATAGATAATTTGTATTATTTGATGAAATAGAAATGGAAAAATACCAAGATACAATTGATCCTCTATTCGAGAGGAGGATCTATATCTCCCAAATCTCTAGACTCCGCTAGAGCCCAAAAACACCTAAACCTAAGAGATCTCAAATTTGAGCCAAATTCAAGATGTCCTAACCCTAGGAAAATACTCTATTTAATGTGTACAATAAAAAAAAAAAATCTAAACAGTCCATACATTCAAATTTCTCTCCTAACTCCCTCAAAATCCTTCCAAAACAACTCACTTAGATCTTGCGGCTTATGCAGCTCATGCAGGAGGCGAACTCTTCCGCCTCTGTTACGTTGAGCCATTCCCATATGGACCAGCTGGACCGGTCTAACATAAACCTTCCGAATTACCTCCCAAATTTGAATTTAAATCAGCTCTCTTTCCCTAAATAAACTTCCCTAATTCCCTCCCAATTTTGATTTTCTATGGTAAGTACTTAAAGGTAGGATTCATCCCCTACGAGCCCCCAAATTTTCTTTTAGAAATCCTCTTTATACTAGTAATGTAATATGACACTTCAACTAAAGCATTTCACTTGTTTGCTGCTTGACGTAAAAGCTTTTGAAGTTTCAAATGATGGGAAAAAATCAAATTAATTAAACTTTCTTTGGTGATTATATTCAAGCGATCTCAGACTCATGTTCAAAGATTTTCATCTTACCAGTCCGAGGAGGCAACTTCTTTTTGTTGGTAGGTTTGCCAGTGGCCTCTGGTGCACAACTTCACATATCTTAAGAGAACTGGGGCCTTTTTCAACCAACTTCCTTTCCCTTTCGTTCCAAATGTTGAGGAGTTCAATGGATGGCGCAGTCCCAATTACTCCTGGATGATTTAGACCGGGAAAGCGGACACCTGTTTTACATAACATAAGTTTCCTAGCATCAATCTTTACTTTCAAAAACAATTTTTTAGCTATTTTGCTGAAGCAGGGCAATAATCTTGGAAGATCACCTGGTATGTGGGGCGAGTATGCGTATATTCCTTCAAAATACCAGATAGCTTTTATTGCACTGGGGAAGTGGTCTGTCAATAATCCACCTCCATTTTCTCTGTCGTAGGTTGCTGTATAACCCCATTCATCTCCAGGGAGGGGACCTAAGTTACAGATTTCTACCGCTAGAAGATCACCTGGTTTTGCAGTGACCCCTTCTTTGTCTAGAACTCTTATAGGCCCACTGAGATAATGTCCCTGCACAAGATTTTAATGCCTGGTTAGGTAATATGCAATGAATTATGATGTCACCATCTATATCTTTTGTTAAACAAACTGGTCAATCAAGTTGGAGAAGCTTTGATCTACTTATGATTCCAAGGCTGCTTTGGAAGACAACTCTTTCTCTCTCTTATCTGCCCGCATTTAGTTACAATAAACATTGGGAAAGTACTCACTCTTTATTTCCAAAGTATAGTACATGTATTTTATGCATAATATTCTCATATTTATGAGAAATAATCCTTTACATGCCTCATTTTGACCCTTTGATGTAAATCTTTGTTAAAAATATATTTATATTTTTACTTTGTATTATTCTTTTTATTCTGATTCCTAAAACAAAATATGTATAACAAGTACAAATCAATATCTGTTTACTATAGACTTCATATTTTGTGAAGCATTGGGTCGCTTGTCCACATTGATATTTACCCTGTATCTGAATTCTATTATGTTGTTAATAAAATAAATTCTTTGGTTTTGGAGATCAAAAGTTTTTTTTCTTGCTTTCATAATCATTATTGAGTGGAAAATGGATTCTTAGATGGATCGACAATCACAAATTCCAACAAGAGTGATCTGAAGAAAGTACTCATCATCTTGTGTTTGGAACTTTACTATTTTTAACTTTGTGAAGTTGTAGTCATGGCAGAAGCTTGTTAGCCAGTTCCATTGGAGCCTGAAGGAGTATCATTGGCTCTTATTGCAGTAATTGATTACTGAAAATAGTGCCCTATTTGTTCTTTAAAACTGTGTTCCATCATCTTTATCGCCAGCCACCATGAAGGCCTGGTTGGTTTCTTGGGGCTTATGTGGTTTTCAGTCATTATTTCTCTTGCACAAGCTCTACTTCTTCTAGACCTGAATTTTCTTTTATACCAATATACTTTTAGTCTCTCATTTGAAGTTCTTTTCTCTTACCAATATCACGGCTTTGAGTGAACTTTCCATCTTAGCAAAGTTTAATTGCTCTGCATGAATCATACCAGAAATCAGAATCACTACAAACTATCAATAATATTCTCTGGTTGTTTTCAGCTATGCTTTTCATTCAGAATTTATTTTTTTCCTGTTATCTGATCACATCATTTCATTTCACAACTGAATAAAGAATGTCAGATTTCCAGGTTATTTTGTATCAATATACAGAATTCTGAATGAGCGGCTTTAAAAGAGAAGCATAATACTAAGTTAAGTGTTGCAGAGATGAGGATGCTTAGGAGAATGAGTGGCTTTACCCTTAGAGATAGAATCTGAAATGATTATACCCGTGAAAAGGTTGGAGTAGCGCCAGTGGAAGATAAGATTAGAGAGATTCGTCTTAGATGATTTGCTCACATAAAACGGCAGCCTTCCGATGACCCGGTTAGGAAAGTAGAGGTATTAGAATTGACTTATGTTAAGAAAGGTAGAGGTATACCTAAAAAGACTTGGTTAGAAAACATTAAAAATGATCTTTCTTTACCAGATTTAAACGAGAATTTGACTTTTAATAGGGCAATGGTGAAAAACGATAAAGGATTCATGTAGCCGACCTCACCTAATGGGACAAAGGCTTGATGTTGTTGTAGTATACAGAATTGTGAATCACTATAAAACATAAATGCTCTGATGCTTTTTTTTTTTTTTTTTTTTTTTCAGGAATGGAGGACTTACAATGTTGAAATCCACGGATTTGATGTCCATGGCAGAATCATTATCTGCAATGCTTCCTCCCGACCAGTCCATCATCTCCACCCGAAATAACTCTCCCTCTGTCACCTCTGCAACTGCGGGTATGCGAGGATGCCAACGGTTATGGAGAGGGTACTTCTGCTCCCATGGCTTCTTCTTGAGGTCGATCGGCACGACCAATCTCGGACTTGGAGGAGCCATCGCCTGAATTTGTGAAGGAGCTCAGCAGCCGAGCTTAGATGATCGCTTTATTTTGTGAATTCTGCCCATGATTGTGAGTCTCTTGTTTACTGAGACGAAAACAAAAAATTGAGTAGGATTTTCATTATTATCGTCAGAGTGGTCCCGTCTTGCGCTATGTTGATATTATCCTTATTGTTTGCTTCGTATTTCTTGGTTAATATTTGATAATGAACTGTAACATTATGTAACAGAAAGATGAAACGACCTTTTCAAATTATATATTGATGCGGACTAAAATATACGCGGCGGTAGAGTAAAAATATAGCGTCTTAATAATATACGTATATCCAGCACACCAATAGATAATTAAGGGAGAGAAACACCATAAACTTTTTTACGTGGAAAACCCGAAAAGGGAAAAACCACGGGGCCTGGCCCAGATAAGAAATTTCAACTATATATGGATTGGTTACAACGTTTGATTCGCCCCTTTACTTGGAGATGCTAGAATTACAGTAAGTTAATAACAGACAAAAATCTGATGATGATTAATGGATCGACCAAAATAAGGCAGTGGTTGGGAAAAGCTCCAGCAACGGTCAGTAGTAAAACTCAAGTGATGGTTGGCAGGAAAACTGGCAGTGGTTGGCAAGAAAACCCGGCGGTGGTCGGCAGGAACTCCGGCGGTGTGGTTTGAATCTCCCAACAACGCTTTGGGTCTTTGATTCAGACTCATTTGGGCTCGGATTGGGTTGAGTTTGATGTCATTGGGTTCGTGTTTCCAAGACGCTCAGTTTAACTATAAGCTTGCTGAAATTGGAGTTCAGATGCTCCTGAATTTAATCTTTGAAGTTTCCAACTCAATTTTGCTTCAAGATTTGTGCATGATCAAGATAATTTTCTTATTATGATATATATATATATATATGGGATGAAATTTTTTATTTTAGAGCGATTTTGAAAATATTATACTGTAAAATTTATATGGATTTATAATTATATCCTACTCAATAATAAAATTTATTAAAATAATTATTTTTCAAAATATATTTTTCATGCTCTGACGATCGAACAATTATTACGTCTTCCGACCGGACGTTCCTCGACCGGACGTAGAGGAACGTCCGGTCGGAGCCAAATCCGACCAAAAAACGAGAAATACCGAGCAATATCAAACAATAATGAGGAATACCATCACGTGAAGACCCAATACCAAGTTATATCGAGCTATACCGAGCAATACCGAGTTATACAAAAGTTATACCGAGTTTTTCCTAGCAAAAACTCGGTACAGCTCGGTATTGCTCGGTATAACTCGGTATAGATCTTCACAGAGCGGTATTCCTCGTTATTATCAAATAATACCTAGCAATACCAAGCAAATACCGAGTTTTTTTGGGGATTTTGACTCCGACCGAAATTTTCTCTACGTCCTTACACCGAACCTAATAAAAGTTCCTGACGACCAAGTTCTCTTAAGTGCGTTTTAATTCGTGTTATTATGGGAGTAATCAAAGAAAATAAATAAAAAATCTTAAAAATTTATTGATCGATTATAAATTAAAATCATTGATTTCATTTTCTTAATTTCTCTTTCACTGAATTCATAGCATCCAAAGAAATGTTTTTGTGGCAAAAAAAAAAGTAAAAAATAATGTTTGTGGAAGATGTTTATTTCTTAATTATTTTAAAAAATAATTTTTGAATTGTGGCTGAGAATGCTTCCCCCTAAAGCCAACAAAAATATTACACCAAGTAAATATTAATTGTTCATCCCACAAACTATTTTTCTTTCACAACTTTTAGTTATCACATAAATTCTTTTCCTATAAAAGTCATTATATGGACAATGTTCAATTTATTTCATCTGCATAATCAAACAAAACATAATTATTGTTTCCAAGTTCCAACATATAATCAAAAGAAATTTATTCAATTCAGAACATTTTATTAAAATTTTAATAATAATTAAAATATTTTGATCAAAATTTAATTGTAATATATTTAAATTTATTAAATTAATTTTGAGATGAATATAATATATATTTAATTATATTCATCTCAAAATTAATATAATAAATTTAAATATATTAAAATTAAAATATTTAATAATTTTCTTTTGCCTTGCTTAGGTTTGGAGTGATGGGAAGGTCTCCATCATAAGAACATTGGAAAACATCCGGCAGCTTCTTCACAACTCTTGGTCCCACCAAAGACCTATGAGATTTTGGCCGTATATCCTGTGTACGTATAACACAAGTTTAATAGTGGTAAAAATGTAAATTTAACCAAGTCAATATAAGAGAGGGGTAAATAATAGTTCATCTCTGTGATCTATTAAGATAAATTCATACACGTATCATATATATAGACTTGAATTCAAAATCACTTAGTTGATAGTCAAAACTCCAACCAACAAATCAAAAAGAGCCGTGTCATAACTTCTAATATGATTTCTCACTATTGTGCTATAATAAATCATTATTGTGCCGTAAATGAGCTAATTCGTAAAATGAGATTTATGTACATATCCCTCTTGTTTTGTCGAGAAATTTTTATTTGGCTATAATCTTCTCAATTAGATAATATAAATTTAATTTTAAAACAATAATTAAAATTGAACATTAGAAAGGTCTTTTTTTTTGTCTTTTTTCTCAATTTATGAATGAAGGAATACTTGTGAAATTATTGATGAAAAATTTGCCAGAAAATTTTAACTTAAATCTTTTGATTTCAGACAAAAATTTTTCGCCAAAAAAAAAAAAAAACTTGTTTTTCTTTATTGTATTTTCATATCACTTAATGATTTAGCATTTATATATATTACACCTAAAATTTATTATTTAAGACATTTAATTATTATTTTAAAAAATAAATGAATATTTTCTAATATATGAGATGACATAACATCATAAAAAATGTAAAGTGAAGTGTAGTCATATTTTTTAGTATTATAAATAAATATTATTTTATTAATATTATATTAGAAAAATTAGAACCAAATGATCTTTTATAAATAAAAAATTGAATTAGAATATTATCAATTTTTTTTTAATTTATCTTAAAATAAATACAATGCACAAAGATTCAATTTTCACCTTATGATATTTGATCATTTTAAGCACCTCATGCAAATATAGTGATTTTTTATGTAAAACAGTTAAAAACATTTTTTTTAATTGTAGAAAAATTAATAACAGTTTATTTATTCATTGCCTCTTTTATTTATTTATTTATTTATTATTATTATTATTATTAAACTGTGATTGAAAAATTATCCTTTCATTTTTTAACAGCTGTTAAAAAGCGGTCGAATTGTGCCGCGGATGCTCTGACTTGAGAAGGGCTGCCCTTGAGAAGGGAAGGAGATGAAGAGCGGACCTGGTCGAAAATGGCGATGGGGATAGCAATGGTGGCGACTGCATTGGGAGCGTCAACGATGCCGGAGATACGGCCTTCACAGGGGCAACAAGAGAGGAGGAGGTAAGCCTGCTCCTTGGAGTAGCCGAATTTGTAGAGGTAGTCAATGGCATTGAGCACGGCGCGCTTGTAGGCTAATGTAGCGTCCATGAAATGCTGCCGCCCGCTTTCGTCCACGCTGATGCCCTCGAACACCAGCCACTCTGAGAATCGAGGCTCCACTGGCCCGATCTCGAAGATCGGATTCACGTGCAGCGCGGTTGGCCCCATTGGGGTGAGGTATTCTTTCATTCCGCCCCTTATTATCTCGCACCTGAAAAAAAAAAAAAAGCAATCGAAGTTAGGGCATATTTTTTATATTTTGTTGTTCAAACGATGCACCTAAATATATTTTGAGTATCATTTTCAGATGATGTCACATTAATCTTTGGAAGAGGAAGAACAATAATAAAAAAAAAAATTAAAAACTCAAATCTAGACATGCTGAAAAATAAAGTTTTTTAAAAAAGTTACAGTACACTTTACGTTAATTTGTTTAATCTTAGTCAATTTCTGTCCTTGGCCACCTAACTGTTGGCACTTGCGAGCTCACAGATCTAGCATGGCCTGGGCAAGTTATTTGATTCAGCTTTTCTCCTTAGACTTGGGCACTGAGTTGCTTATCCTTTATTCGTTAGCTATCTCAGTCTGCATGTACACGCGGCCTCAAAGATTTGATCTTTTTGTGTTTAAGGAACAATGTAAATCTCATTATTCAAGTTTCAGCACCTCAAAAAATTTTCGTTCTCTGTAGTATATCTCAAGTGGTAATAACTAATAAGTACTTCAATTTTAACTTTTCTGCAAGGTTTAGTGAAAGGGAGAGAAAAGTAAAATTGACCATATATTTATTAAATTGTCTTCTTTTTACAAACATATATATACTGATATATAGGCAAGAGAAAAAAATAATAAAAGAGTATATCCTCAATAGGAAGGAACTATAACAATAATAAGTTATGTAGAGTACTACTATAAATAGTTTACACGTGTGATAATTTAGATGTGGTAAGCCCCCTTTACGTATGCACAAACATGGGGTGACATAGAAGATGTCAACATGAGTTTGGATACACTAACGACTAAAAGATGAAATAGCTGAAGGTTTAGTTGCCCAATAGTTGTGAGTGTTACAATAGAGTGCAACCAATACAAGAAAAAGAGATAAGTGTGAATATGATGCAATAGTCAGAAATGAGATTCATACTACATATGACATATATAAGATTTTCAAATAATAGTATCGAGTGAGTGTCGACGAAGATTATAAATAATAAACGTCGATGGAGAGGTATACATAGAAAGGATAAAAGGTGCAGTCACCGCTAGAGAACACAAGTAACTTGTTGAGGTTAATGAATATTGTAAGAATAGAGAAGACTTGAAGGTTTGAGGATGAAATCAGTTGTATGTAGTGTTTGGTGACATAATAGGCATAAAAATAGGAGAAATGTGCATTAATTTTGGATGTTAGTGATGCGATTGCTTGGGGCATCTTGCAAATGGCTTCATTGACGAGCTCAAATCACATGAATGAGGATCAAGAAGGCATACTCGTGTAATGCCCAGCGAAAATATTAGAGAAATGGTGAATTCTACATAGAGAATCATAGTAAGCATGCATGATTACATGAATTCGAAAAGTTGTGGAATGTTGTGATGCAATAGATGGACACATAAGGCCAATGTGCATGAGGGAGATTGGAGGGCTGAGTCTTGATAGTGGATGTAATTGGAGGGTGTATCACGTGGTTTGGAAGTATTGAAGATTACATGGACAAACATGTGCGCATACATAGGCTTGGTGGATACAATATGAGTGATGAATAGTGGGTTTCAAGCACATGTAGTGCTTGAGAATGGAACTTGATGGATCTGATTTCATGTTAGAAAGAGAGGAAGAGAGAATTTGTAAGACCACATCTAATTTTCTTTGTAGTGCAAGCATATAGGCTTATATATAGGTAAGAGAAGATAACAGTAAAGAAAATTATAAGAAGTTTGAATATTCTTAATATTGACATAATATAACAATAATAATATTGTAGCTTTTTATTATAAATGGTTAGTATATGTAATAATTTGAATATAGTAATTATTTGATGGTTGAATTTTTTTATTCTCCTAGCATTTTTCAATCATAAAGAGATACTTAATAAAGAGATACTATACTTACTTGAGTTCTAGAAAACCGCTCATCTCTATTGCTCCACAAAATGAAACTTCACCATCACCTTGTGAGAAGTGCATGTCACCTGTACTGAGGTTTGCACCTTCCACAAAAACTGGAAGATATATTTTTGATCCTCTACTTAGATTTTTGATGTCACAATTTCCTCCGTTTTCCCTTCCTGGAATTGTTCTTGCAGCCTCATTTGCAATCTTCTCCCATTCAGGTGTTCCGTCATTAATCTATAATGCACAAGAATAGTGAACTTGCTTATTTAATCCATGTCTGTATTTCATTTTGATTATGATAATGCATATTTTTGTAAGGCATTCAACTGAAATTTAATCTTCTTAAGGGAAATTTACATAAATACCACTTTATACCATCCTATTTATATATTTAACACTCAAAATTTTAATATTACATACATACCACCCTATTCAATTTTAATATCAAATATGCCACTCATATTTCCTTCCTACCACTCATATATTTCATTTCTATCACTCATATATGATATAAAAATGAACTATGGGTGGTATTTATGTAATATTATAGTTTTAGATGTTAAATATGTAAATAGAGTAATATAAAGTGGTATGTATGTAAGATTTTATATGTACCATGAGTACTTTGATTCAAAGTAGAAGTTTGGTCAGATATAGTTGTGACACACAAGAAGTTTCATGATATGATGGGAATGCGTCTTTGTACTTCATAATATTAGTTTTTTTTCTTTTTTTTTCATAGTTTAGAATCAATGCCATTCAGTCAGCATAATGAAGCACTGTTCTGATTATTTGTTTCAACTCATTTAAACTGCTGAGATTGGTTAACTGTAGAGCCAATGAAGAAAGAAAAATATACTAGACCATTGTGAAATTTGAATGAAAGAGAGAAGCTAGATATCATTCCTCTCCTATGCAACAAATGGACAATTGTGCCTCATGTTACTATTTTGGTGTTGAGTATATCAGTTGTGAACAAGATGTTTGTGTAAATTCTTCAGTTAGGAATTGGAGCAAGGGTGAAGAAGTTTGCAATTGTTGACTATCATTAGCTATGAGTCCAGTACCACAAGTGATTAAGCTATAATACAAATTAACACAACGTGAAGTAGATTTTTGTCTAGAAAGAGATCCAAGAATTATAATGATATCAGAAAAATTTAACTTTAATTATAAAGTGCCGAAGCAAGATACAAGAAGGATAAGGATAACTAGGAAGGGTGAAATGAAATAGGATTCAGTTTCTCATCAAAGTTATCCATGAAAAAAAAAAAGGTTTTGAGAAGTAGATATGTTGCCTTTATTTTGATCTCGGGCCCATGGATTTGAGCCATGCAAGCATTCTTTTTACAAAAATATGGATGGTAGAAGTAGAAGTAGACTTAGTGGAAGCTTAATGTATCGGGTATATATTGTTTTAATTCTACAAGTTGGTTTAACTTGACATCAACCCTATTTAGACACCGACATTTGTGGAAGCTTAATGTATTTGGTATATATTGTTTTAGTTTTACAAGGTGGTTTAACTTGAAGAGAGAAATGCACAAAAGGAGATGTATAATAAAGATTGAACGTTGACTAACTTAACTAAAAATGAAGGTTCTAAAGTGGTATAGTACTATAGTATGCACATTTACTAATGGTCTTGTTGTTAGATTTGGGCGGTGGTTTTTGAATTTATACCCTGGTTCTTTTGGTTAGGGAATTTGGAGTATTTTATTTGGGGCAGTAGAATTTGAATTGATGTGAAAGTTTTCATTTCTTCTTTGTATTGTATTTTAACTAAGGTTGATGGTTGTGGGTTTCCTTAAACTTGTTGTATTTGTAGAGACTTCAAGGTTGTGGTTCTACTTGTGTCCACTTGGTTCGATTGTTATCACGATTGATAGTTTTTTCACAGACTGATTGGACTGTGGAATAAATATTTAGAAGCTTTAAATGATGGCTACGACTATTTTTTATCTTGTAAATTTAGTTGAAACTTCTGAACAGATATTGTCTCAACCAAATTTACTAGCTTAGGAGATCGGAAATCTATAAATAGTACTTGTATCTTATATCTGGGTGAGATTTTATATTATTTATGATTGGGTTGCATAAAATTCATCTATCAATATATATTTGGACATGAATCCATTTGACATTGTGATAGCCTGATAGGATATCAATTTGGAAAACCTATAATTCTTGTTGACCTTTTTATAGAATGTAGGCATAACAAATTTGCTCAATTATTCACACAATATATGTATGATTTGCATTATAAAATTTGTAAAAAACTAGATATTAATTATGCCAATTACAAGATTTACACTAATATGAATGGGAAGTTTGTGAAATTTAAAACTGTTGATAAAATTATGGTATGTTTAACTCCATTATGATCATCATCAAAAGCTTGGTGATAAAGTGATGATCAATGTTTAAAATTACATATTCGGGTATTGAGGCTTTTTCATTTGTGAGGCGAGGCGTAAGCCTCAAAATCAAAATATTGCGTAAACATAAAATGATAAGTTTTTTATATACTAATGAGTGAATAATATAAAACATAAAAAATCATAAGATATGAAGTGAAATCAAAATATCCCAATAATAAAACAACATGAAATATAGTTCCACTCAAAATTCTATCTTTCCCAAATCCCAGTATTCTTTTCATTAACATATAATTCAAATTTCCAAAAATAAATAGCAATGACATATCACATAAGAACTCATAAGTCATCAGCACTGCAATCACTAAGGGGTTCTTCATTTGAATCATCATTATGATGAACTGCTCTCTCCCCTTCCTCCTCTCCTATAGAGTCCAATGTCGGGCATTTACTTCAAGATTTATGTAAGTTTTAATATATATAGCGTGAGGCGTAAGCATCATGCCAGTGAGGCGAGGTACGCGGGCCTCAACCAAGTTGAGGCGCAAGCCTCATAAAAAAAACTCGATGCGTAAGCATCGAGGCGTTTTTTACTGGAATTGTGCAAAGGC